CCCCCAACTGGATCTTGCCTTATAGTCCAGGCTGGCCTCGAACTGCTAAATTCCTCAGGGGGTATACCTGCCTCAGCCTCCCAAGTACTGGGATGACGGGCACGCACAACTGTGCCGAGCCTTTGCATTATCAATACATGGCTTGATATTGCAGCCATCTGTCAGAGATTGCAAGCTTTTTAAAGTTTTTCAGTGATGCAGACAGCCTGCTGTGGCCTCGTGCCCCAGCCCACCAAACTGTACACAGTCTACAGAGGCTAAAAGCGCCGGGTCTCACTAAGGGGCTGTCTGCACTTGACAGGTTTGTCCTACAGACTCAGCAGCAGCCTCTGGTAAGAAGAGGCCCCCATACATGCAGCTCACGCCTGGTCTTCCATGAAGGCTGATGAGGGGAGCCCTGGCAGTATAGATGCAGTTTGGGAAACTTCAGTGTAGTAGAAACTGCTTAGAAATGTGATTGATAAGTACAGCTCTCTGGCAAGGTCTTGGTTGGTTTATTGCTTCTACAATACCACTTGTGCTTCTTCACTATCTTTGCATTTTAGTGTTTTTGTTTTGTTTTGTTTTGTTTTTTTGTTTATTTGGAAGGGTCTACAGGGTGTTCAGAGTCTCACTGCTAGGTTGGACTCAGTGATCCTCCTGTTTACAGCCTCCCAAGAGCTGGGATTACAAGTGTGTGCTACCACGCCTAGTCTCAATTGCCATCTCAGCGCACCCTGGGGGTGGGGCCAGCACAGCAGGCCCGGGTATGAACTCCTTGCCCCTGAGCCTGCTTGCAGATGCTTTAATCCCCTGAGTTATTTGGCCAGCCCTTGTATTTTAGTTTTTTGAGGCAAAGTCTTGCTTTGTGGTTCAGGCTGGTCTTGAACTCTAGGTCCATACCTCTGCCCCAGCTTCCAGAGTGCCGAGAGTCATGTGATAGTACATGTCTATAATCCGAGCACTTAAAAGGCTGAGGCAGGAAGCTCTCCAGGAGTCCAAGGCCATTCTGAATACTAGCAAGACTGTCTGGAAACACACACACACACACAGGCTACTAATTTTAAGTAACTCATGAACATGACTATTATATACTGAAAAATCTTTCCCTCACTTTTTATGCCTCAGCCTTTAGTTTTGCTATCAGGAGGTAGACTTTATTAGTATTTTTATTCAGATTTTGGTTCTATGTATGTGTGTTTTATTTGTTGTTGTTGGTTTTTGTTTTTGTTTTGTGGAACCGGGGATTGAACTCAGGTCCTTGCACTTGCCAGGGAAGCACTTATCCTACTGAGCCAACTCCCTGGCCCCTTATGTGTGTTTTTGTAGTACTGGGAAATGAGCAACTTATGGGCCTTTGCACTAAACTGCATGACAAGCAGCCCTCCTTTGAGTTTCACCTTGTTACCCAGGTGGGGAGCTATAAGAGGCAACTACTTTTAATTAGTTTCTTGAGGTTTTTTGGGTGCAGTTCTGTGCATACACAAACACACCCTTTCATTTTTACATGATCTTACACCATTTGTGAACATGTGATCGGCACCTTGCATATTCCTCTTAATTT